TAGCTCTGGGGAAATCACCGTCCCTGACCTCAAGCTATACTACATAGCGATAGTGATAAAAACCTCGTAGTATTGGTACAGAGACAGGCAGGTAGATCAATGGAGTAGAATTAAAGACCCAGAAATGAACCCACACACCTATGGTCATTTGATCTTTGACAAAGAAGCTAAAACCATCCAGTGGAAAAAGACAGCATCTTCAACAAATGGTGCCAATTCAACTGGCATGTAGAAGAATGCAAATCAATCCATTCTTATCTCCCTGTACAAAGCTCAAGTCTAAGTGGATCAAGGACCTTCACATAAAACCAAATATGCTAAATCCAATAGAAGTGAAAGTGGGAAAGAGCCTTAACACCTGGCACAGGTGAAAATTTTCTGAACAGGACACCAATGGGACAAATGGGACTTCATAAAATTGAAAAGCTTCTCTAAGGCAAAGGACTCTTTCAATAGGACAAAATGACAACCTACACACTGGGAAAATATCTTTACCAACCGTACATCTGATAGTGGGCTAATATCCAAAATATACAAAGAACTCAAAAAGTTAGACTCCAGAGAGTCAAATAACCCTATTTAAAAAACGAGGTACAGAGCTAAACATAGAATTCTCAATTGAGGAATCTCAAAGGACCAAGAAGCACCTAAAGAAATGTTCAACGTCTTTAGTCATTAGGGAAATGCAAAGTAAAACGACTCTGGGATTCTACCTCACATCAGTCAGAATGGCTAAGATCAAAAACTCAGGTGACAACAGATGCTGGAGAAGATGTGGAGAAAGAGGAACACACCTCCATTGCTGGTGGGACTGCAAGCTGGTAAAACCACTTTGGAAATCAGTCTGGCAGTTCCTGAAAAAATTGGAAATAGTTCTACCTGAAGACCCAGCTATACCACTACTGGGCATGTACTCAAAAGATGCTCAAACATAGAACCTTCTTCTTTTATTATCTTTTTTCTTCCTGTCCTTCCTGACTTGGTTTTTCTTTCTTTTCTGATTTTTCCCCTTCCTTTTATCATTTTTAAGATATCTTTTCAGTGCTAAGGATGGAACTAAAACCCTCATACACATTAGGCAAGTGATGCAGAACTGAGTTACATTCCCTGTCCAATACTGGGATGTCTAGCTGGGTTTTTTTTCTAGAATTGTTTTTGATTGATCTGAAGATCTGTTAATTAATAACAACTATAATTGCTCTAAAACAGACACACATAAATCTCTACAGTATAACAAAGACTGGAGACTGGATATATATATAGTGAAGACTGAGGATTATATACAAGCATTGACATCTCACTGGGTATACATTGCTACAGAGTTAACATAGGGAATAGTCTTTAACTAGACCTTGATTTTGTCAGTGCTGGTCCTTGGTTCTTGGCTTGAATCTATATAAGGACTTCAAAAGCACATAGATACCTTTCTACCTGATTCTTTCCTCTGGAAGACTGGAGAACTGTAACATCAACTCACATCTCAAACGGTTCACAGTTTTTAAAACCCAAAGCTAAGAGTTCTTTTAGCAATATGTAGTCTGCTTCTTTTCTATTTGAAACTTGCATGATTGGCCAAACCTGTAAATCTTTTTGAGACAGACTACGCTGCTAATCACAATTACTATGACTTGAAACAATAAAGGTTTCTTTCCTACTTTCTAAACACGTCAATCATAGGTATACAATGGCTCTTTCCAAATAGCGTTTGATCTCACACCCAAGCTGGCAAAGCAGCCACTGTTTGAAGCATAACTTGATTTTGTCATGATGTGAAAAGAGAAAAGAGAGCAGCACACATGGGCACCAACAATTCTGTATGACAGGTGGAATTCTCACATTCCATTTCCTACTAAAGAAAGTCACCTGAACAAAGCTGATGAGACTGAGGCAGTGAGATATCCTCTCTAAGGGTAAGCAAGACAAATTTGTAAGTGATATAATCTACACACACAAAGTCCCTACTGCCGAAAGTCACATTGAAGTTTGCAATGTCCCCTCTCCATTAGCTTTTCTAAACTGTCACCTCTACTGTCTCCAGCTCTACTTAAAATTCAGCTTGCATATTCTTTCCATTAACTTTAATATGCAAAATTTAAGCGTTGACAATATGACCTGTTGGTTGATGTCTTAAGGTTTTTCTGCTGTGAATGGATACCATGATCACAGTAACTCTTATAAGGTCAACATTTAATTGGGGCTGGCTTACAGATTCATAGGTTCAGTCCATTATCAAGGCTGGAGCATGGCAGCATGCAGGCAGGCATGGTGCAGAAGGAGTTGAGAGTTCAACATCTTCATCTGAAAGCTGCTAGCAGAATACTGATCTTCAGGCAGCTAGGATGAGGGTCTTAAAGCCCACAGCACAGTGACACACCTACTCCAACAGGGCTGCACCTTCTAATAGTCCCACTCCCTGGACCAAGCATATACAAACCATCACAGTTGGTTACAGTTTAGTCAAATTTATATTGTGTAATTCTACTTTGTTAATATTCAAAAAGCTTCACCTGGCTATCATATTATTATGTCTAGGAAGTAGGCCAATATTAATTTTTAAAAGCACCAAAACGGCAAACATCTAGACTTTAATTTCTTTTGAATTGTGGCATTTCTATATATATGCTTACTTTTTATTACCAATATTTATCATTCCAAATGAAATGTTCAGCAAAAGGTCCTCCTGTTGTGTAATTTCGTTGCTAGCAGCCTGGCTATATTTACTACCTTTACTTCTCTTGTTCACATCTGAGTACTTTCTGTACTGATTTTTAACATAACCATACTCATTACCATAGTATATAAAGTATTACTAAAGTGTTACCAAGGTGATCTCCTTTTTCTCTCCTCTGTTGCTATGTCCATTGCTATGTCTGGACCAGTCACTAGTGCTTCCTTGGAATTCTCTTCCCTGTTTGTTATAATACCTCGGTAATGTCTTCTTTTCTTTAAGTTTCAATTCAGATAATATCCCCAGAGGCATCTTTCCTTGCCCACTCTAGCTGAAGTAATCTTCTTTCCTCTGCCTCTCCCATGTCATTTTTCACTGTTATTTATTTTATTGGAATGTCTATAACTGTCTAACGTTATCTGTTTATTACCTGTTCTTCTTAGTCAACATGGTACATCTGTTAAATCACAGTATTTTTTTTCCTTCAATACTAAATCCTTAGAAGCTGAATATTGTTCATGGAGGCGTAGGTCTGTAAAGTAGGTCTGTAATGCCAACTCTTGGCAGGCTGGAGCAGGAAGATCTTGAGTCAGAGGCCAGCCAAAGAAAAGCAAAAACAACAAGATATGGTATAGACTAGATACTTAGCAAAGACTTTCTGAAAAAAAGAAAGGAAGGGAAGGGAAGGGAAGGGGAGGGGAGGGGAGGGGAAAGAGGGGAAGGGAGAGGAGGGGGAGGGGGAGGGAGGGAGGGGAGGGGAGGGAAGGGAAGGGAAGAGGTTGACTGAGACTGAAAAGAAGGCTCCTATTTTAATTCCTATTTTAGCCAGTCATACATCTCATTTCCTAACTAACAAAATGACTCCCTTTACTTTCTACTCTAGATATGTATTCTGCTCTGTAGAAATACTGTGGGTTTTCCATAGCCACACATCCATTAGTTCAGTAATTGGCATGGATATTTTCAGGGCTGGTCAACACTAAACTTCTGATAGTATTCTTTTTCTCTCATCCACGCATGCATCCACAGCCATCCAACTATCAGGTTCTGTTGATACCACAAAATTTTCTCTGAACTTTTTGGTGCCCCCTCTCCTCCAATCATTATACTCCCTCCCTTAGAACAACTTTAAATTCTCTCACATGGACAACTACAATAGCCCTTTTCTCTACTCCCTTCTTCATAACCAAAGGAATTCTTTTTGCCCATATAATCTTATTGGTGAGCTTCATAAAGTCCCGAACATAACGTCCTTGTGTAAGTAGTCCCCAGCTCAGATGTGGCCCCTACTTTGCCTTCGCTTTTAAGTTCCTTCCATGGTAGAAAGTAGGCTTCAGACCTTCATGTGAATTGTCTTCCTTACTAAACGTCCACATGAAGCCTGTACTGGGCTAATGAATGCTACTTTTTCAGTTTAACAGTTTCGGCGAAGACATCTCCTCTTTAGTTTTTTTATTTTTAGTTTTATTATTTGAAAAGTTTAAAGATATGTACGGAGTCCAAATTGTTGGCTGTGATTCCAAACTGCTCATTAAACCCGCCCCAAGGAAGGACTTTTGGGTAAAGGTAAATTTACAAAGAGATAAAAGAACATTTAATCAGGGTGGTAGAAAAGGTTAAGTTCAGGAACACGACCAATGAAGATACTTTTAAGGATGCAATATCTGGACCAAAAAGAGATAGCGGCATGTTGCAAAACTTCTTCGGGAGACTACAACTCTTCAATGGTGCCATGACCCAAGAGTCTAGAAATCACATTGTATAAACTATGGCCATCTTTACATCACTTACTAGTGTTTCAACTTCTGTCCCTAAGCTCCAGTGAAAGACAGGAAGCAGCTGCAGTCTTAAACCGCAGCCGTTGACCTCGGCGGCTGGAGACACGACCTGTCCTGCGAGATCTGGGCGCAGAGCCTTCAGAGGCGCCTGGCAGCTCCCTCCGGGTCCCTCTGGGAGGCCCGGCGCGCGCACCGCACGCGCGCCCCCAAACCCGTCAGCGCGCCGCCCAGGCCGGGAGACGCCGCCAGAGAAGCCGCGCCTGCCGAGCGCACTATCAGCCGACCGCCGGATGACCCTGATCTGCACGCTTGCGGTCCTGAAAAGTGCCTGTCTCATAAGTCGAGACGCTCTGACTTCTATGCAAAAAATAAATCTATCAAAAAGATGCATCGTGGAGAACTGATGGATGCTGATCTTAACAATGGGAAAAAGTGGTATGGCTAGTGAGAGCGAGCGCGCGAGGGCTGACCACCTATTCAGGCACGGTAGAGGACAGCCGCATCCGGGCTTTCCTGCAGCAGGCTGCCTTCCGAGCCAGGGGTCCTTCAGGTAGGAGGTCTTGGGTGACTTTGGACGTCCGCTCAGCCAGGTTGCAGAAGAAGCTTAGTGTGTGTCCTAATTTTCTGTCTCTGTGTAGGTAGACCTGTGCCGCAAACATGTTCCGCCAGATCCTCGGGCAAGCCAAGAAGCATCCCAGCGTAAGTTCACGATCTTTGCCAGGGTGGCCTCTTAGCTGCGGTTGCGCCTGCCCGTGTCCCCTGGGGACGTTCTCTTTTCTCTGTTCCTTGGGGTTACGTTCTGTCGTTGGGCCGACCTGATTGCTCGAAGCCTCTACTGTGGGGGGCGGGGGATTGCCTGAAGCAGAAGGTGGCAGTCATCAGGGAGAAACGCAAACATTCTGAGTGTTGGAACACTGTGGCCACACTTTCTCAGATTACCTAGTCCTAAGAGGGATGAGTGGTGCATTGAGTGGTTAGAATCCAAGAGAGGCCAAGTTTGTTATGCTGCCTTTTGAGGCTTTTACGTTCACTGCATTGCACCACCAAGCTTTCAGGTATACAAGGGATCGTCATCTTGTAATCCTCGCTTTGCTTGGAAAACTTGACATTTGCAAAATTTATTTAAGTTCTTTTGACATGTCACTTTCGTCCAGTATAATCCAATATAGTAGGATGCTGTGGACCTAGAACTCCCTTTGACAGGCCTTAAACTTTGCCCTAAGCCTGGTTTTCTAAATACTGAGCAAAATTAATGGCACACCGTTTTCAGAGTTCATTCCTAAAACCAGTGCTCTTAATAGACATTTCTGTCAGCTAATTATGCTCTTTATTTCACAGAGGTTATGTTCACAGAACTTTTCAGGGCCACTTTTCAGTGGTTTTCAAAGGGATTCCCCTCCTTCCCGCCGTCCAGAGGATTATTTCCCAATAAAATTTATTGCGAATGTTGTTCAGGTGTTACACAGGTGAATGTACTTGAGAAGATTATTTCTTGATATCATTTACTTCATGTAAGGAAGTTGCTCTCTTAAGCTAAAACCATCCTAAAATCTTTTTGCAAAGATCTTGCCTTTAGAGTATAATAGAAGGAAACCCCGCTTCAGTCTAAGTTCAACCTTTATTCCCATTGTGGGATAAGTTAGCGAAAAGGCAGATTTGGAGGTTAATGTATAGGAAGAAAGCAGTGTGTTCTTATTTGGACAAGGTCATGGAATGTGATGATGACACCTCTTTTTTTTTTTTTATGTCTATTTGGTTCCAGTTGATTCCTCTGTTCGTGTTTATTGGAGCAGGGGGCACTGGAGCAGCGCTGTATGTGATGCGCTTGGCGTTGTTCAATCCAGATGTCAGGTGAGTGTAAAAAGGTTTAATACTTGAACGACTAAGAATCTGAGCCACAGGAGAGGTAACAGGAGTAGAAACAACTACAGTTTTGTAGCCTTGCAGTCGGCCCAGGGCTGCCTCTGCTGCTGACATTGACTTTGCTGGCTTTGTGAGCTTATCTCTGTCTCATCTCCCCAAGCTTTAGTTCCCTATTGGTAAAAGTAGAATTGCTAAAACCAACTCTTACATTTTGAAGGTTGGATAGTAATTGAGTATTTTTGTTTGCTTGTTTTTGTTATGTTCTGTTGTTCTGCGACAGCCTCATAATATACTTCAGGTTGTCCTGGAACTCACTGTGAAAATCAGGTTGGCCTCTCTAGTGCTGGAATTAAAGGCATGTACCACCACGCCTGCCAACAATTGCTTTTTATGAAATATTTAACTATGATTGCTCTTATATATGAATGTAACCTACTTTTCCTCAATAAACTGATTCTTTTTGTAGTTGGGAAATGCTAAAACCCAAATATAAACAGCCCTCTTATAAAGACAGCAATGAAGACAGATATCCCAAAGAGCAGTGTTCTGTGATTTTACCAGATTTTACTGCTTGTTTACCTATAAATTCTACTTCTTAACTCTGTAATGAAAGTAATGCCTAACAAAAAGTGAGGTTTATTATTCAAAATACTATCCTCTAAGGAAGTATTTTTAAAACACTATTGTAAGTAGTGTTTTATTACTATAATAATTATAATGTTTTATCCATTTTAGCTGGGACAGGAAGAATAACCCTGAGCCTTGGAACAAACTGGGTCCCAATGACCAATATAAGGTAAGGTGCAAAATTGTTAAAAATTACAGGAAAGCATGTTGTAACAGATGCGACTGTGTGGTAGTTTTCTTAAAATGGTATATGCAGGTAAAATTCTGTTATCATTATAATGACCTCTGAAGAGCTCCTGCCCCTTGGCTTAGCTGGGACTGAGGGTTTGCGTTTCCTAAAGCTTCAGATGCTGCTGTGGTTGAAGTATGGGCAACTCTGGTCTCTTGGGTGGTTTTCTTGGCTGTTTCTTCTTGATATGATTCAGATATTTTAGGTAAGGATTAGTGGGAAGAAATAAAAGTCAGTTGAAGTTAAATTTTGCCACGAGCCTCATAGATAAACTTTAACATCCTTCTAGAGGAGTGTTCTGTGTAGCTATTTTTTTTTTTGAAAGAATGTATTCATTCACCAAAAATATTGGTTTCACAAATGAAACCTTTCTTATATGTAATGCTTTTACTTACAGACCCTCATGTAACCAAAAATATTGATGTGTTTGGGTATAATTTCATGTCATACAGTTATCTATTTAAAGTGTCCTGTATGTTTTCTGTTACATCAGCTGTTTCTAAGCAACCAGTCATTTGCCTTAGCACTCAGGAAGAGACACAGTGAGCCTTCTTTGACTAATACCTGGGGAAAGTATCTGTGGTAGAGATCCGTGTTCTTTAGTACTATTTATAGCAACTTTTAAGATTTACACTTTATTTGCTTAAAACTTTCTGCTTAACCCAACAATAATTTGGCTTTTAAGTACTTTTAAGTTGCTGTCCTCTAAAGATACAATTAAAAATTTTACTAACCATGCTGAAACAAGCTGTCTGATAAGTATTTTTAACAGTATGCGCAAGAAACAGTAAACAGGTATTCTCGTTTGTAGTTTTGTCTTAGGAATTTTAAGTACCAGTTATTTGGGGGTATCTGCATCTAAGAAACACTAAAAAGGCGGGGGGGGGGGATTAAAAAAAACCTAGAATTTGGATGTTTAACCGAAGAACATATTGATGTATTGTATAAATGTTTTTCAGAAAATGTACTAGATGATTCCAATAGTTATCCCAGTTACCAGTGCCTTGGAAAATGATGACACAGGCTGATTTGAGCCCATGTGACCTGGAGGTGGAGTGTTGCTGCATTAAGACCCTATTGTTAGAGCTGGCTGAAGATGGCAGCACACACTTTTAGTTGCAGCACTCAGGAAGGAGAGGCAGGCAGATCTCTGATTTCTAGGCCAGCCAGGACTACACAGAGAAATCCTCCCTCAGACCCAAATGTTTATGACACAGCCTGAGCCTTGAGTACCTGTAAGTAATGAAAGGTAGAAACTGAAGAAAGTTGCCTTATTGAAGTAGAGATGAAGAGAACTAAATCTAGATATTTGAAAGCCTGGAATGAAATCTACTTATTTTTGCTTCTATACCCAAGCAGTGAGCGTCATTGTTAATTTTTCATCACCTAAGAGAATTTTTTGAGGATGAGGTTTCTGTATGTAGACTTGAGTCTAAGAACTCACTATGTAGACCAGGCTGGCCTTGAACTCAGAGATCTGCCTACCCCTTAATCTCGAGTGCTGGGTCTAAAGACTCCTGGCTTCACCCAAAAGAATTAAAGGGAATTTTCTTTACCCTGACGACAGAAATCAGATTTAGTCATATCTTTTCTATGACAGATGTCAGGTAGGAGAAGGATGTTTACCACTGTTGAACTATTTTGGTTTTTGATTCATTATTTTTTCCATTTCTCTTGAGAAATAAGGGCTTCTCGTCAGACTTAAGATTGGAATGAAGGGAATGTGGAGTAGTTAACTTAGAAACAGCAATGTGAATAGGAATGAAAGGTCTGTGCTGGTAAGACAGTAAGATTTGAGGTGACTATGGTAAGTCTCATAAATAGGGAAGTTTAGGCAACAGAAGTTTGTCACAATTGTGGAGCTAGGGAGTGTGAGATCTATGTTTTTACAGGAGGAAAAGAAGTAGACACTGTCTTGTTTTTCTTTGATAAAGAAAACAGTCTGGTTGTGATGGCTCTGCCCTCATGACCTATTTACCTTCCAGATGCTCAGTTTACCCCATTGGGGGGCTAGAATTTGAACAGACACTTCAAGAGGACAGTTCATAAAAGGAAGTTATTGGTTCCCTGAAGGAAAAGTGAATATAACAACAAGAGATTAGACAAAGATGGGATTTAAGGATTAGGAGGTTGGAATACATCAGTGAAAGAAATATTCAAATGCCTGGATTGGATACAGCAATCTAGGATTCTTTCGAAGTAACCACTGTTAAGAAAAACAGTAAATAGCAGAGACGTGGATGTGAAAAAATAAAGGAGACTTCAAAATTACTTGCATAGAGAAATTTAAGTACAAAGCCTTGAAGGATAAAAAAATAAATAAATAAATAAATAAATAAATAAATAAATAAAAGAACTGTTGGACAAGGTCCCTCTACATAGCCCTGGCTGTCCCCTGGAACTCAGTGTGGTGACCATGCATGCCTTGAATTCACAGATACCTGCCTGCCTCTTTGCCTCCAACGTGCTGGGATTAAAGGCATCCACCATCATGTCTGGCAAAACACTTGGTTTAAAGAAGTAGCCATGACTGTCTTAGAACTTGCTATGTAGTTTAGGCTGATCTTGAATTCACAGAGATCCACCTACCTATGCCTCAGGAATGCTGGGTTCTTTAACTACCAGCATCACCACACCTGGCTGTAGCTTTGATTTTAAAGATTTATTTTTTATTATTTGAATATGTATATTATGTTAATGCACCTAACTGTAGGCACCTACTGAAACTAAGGGTGTTATTGTCCGTTGAGCTGACGTTACCTGAGGTAGTTATAAGCCACCCCACATGGATGCTGGGAACTGAACTCTGTGGGCGTTTAGATGAGTGATTCATGCTTTCAGTCACTAAGCTAACTCCAACCTTTTATTTTAGTCAGTTTTGAGTAAGTTATAATGTGATATTCAGTTGAATTTTTATAAAGCAGCATTTACATTCTTTCATAAAGAATGTAAAAGACTGTGGTGATGAAGAGAAACAGAACAGGTATTCATTGTTGACATCAACTAGATGTTTACTTTCTTCATAATAAATATTATACCTGCATATCCATCTGTAAATATCCTAATATGTGAACATATTAGAGACTAGTATTCTGTTTTCTAAGTAAACTGATGCTTAAGACAGAGCAAAGAATATTAATGGTTTACTTGAGATTTTCTGTCCCACAAAACCCTAGGTCTGTGTGGATATGCCTAAGGATGATATGGTAATTTTCCTTAAAATTTCGAGATTTTTCTTTTTTAAAATTTGAGTGAGGGGAAGGGGATTCAGCTGGTAAAGTACTGACCTAACACATACAAAACCCTTTGTTCAGTCCCCAGCACCTTTAAAACTTAGTGTAGTAGCTTTCAGTCTAGTGCTTGGGAGGAAGAGAAAACCTCAACTCTTAAGATCATCCTCATATACCACTGAGGCCACCTTAGGCTATGTGAGAAGTGAGTGTTTGAAGTAAAGGAGGTTTGAAAAAATCTGTTTTGAAACAGATTTTTGTGAACTACTTGTTTGTATGTTTTGTTTTGTTTTTTTTACAATGGAAAGGAATGAATGTAGGCCCTCACATAGGCAAAGCTACTCCAGTGCCTTTGAGCTTTGACAGCAGCTCTGAAGTTCTTTCTTAATACAGACTGTCACCGGGCGGTGGTGGCGCACGCCTTTAATCCCAGCACTTGGGAGGCAGAGGCAGGCAGATTTCTGAGTTTGAGGCCAGCCTGGTCTACAGAGTGAGTTCCAGGACAGCCAGGGCTGTACAGAGAAACCCTGTCTCAAAAAAACCAAACCAAAAAAAAAAAAACCCAGACTGTCTGTCTTAGTCACTCTTACATTGTTGTGAGGAGCCACCGTGACCAAGGCAGTTGATAGGAAAGGGAGCATCTAATTGGGGGCTCGCTTACAGTTCCAGAGGCTTAGTCCATTAAGATCTTAGCGAGGATGTGAGGCATCCTTGAAGGCAGGTGTGGTGCTGGAGGTGTGTGGAGCTGCATCCTGATCATCAAGCAGAAGAGGAATAGGGCCTGGCATGGGCTTTTGAAACCTCAGAACCCACCTCCAGTGACTCATTTCCTCCAGCAGGCCACACCTAATCCTTTAATCCTATCAGAGGTGACTCCTTGGTAGCTAAGCATTCAAATGTATGACCCTATGGGGATCATTCTTAATCCAGCACACAAACTCTGGAGAAAATGCCTGATTCTTTTGTAGATAAATCATGTAATCGTCAAGGAGTTGTAGCATTATCTCAATTTTCTTTAGCATAAGAATAAATAAAACTAAGATTATGATCTTCTAGTAGAAATTCCAGACCAATTTCAAATATCATTTTTAAAAACTCACTAGTAGTTAGACATTGTTAGCACTACCACAGTAAGATTATTTCTAAAATGAATTTCAGTTGAGTATCAGGATATATTTGGAAATTTTAAACATGCATAAGTGTAAAAGTTGTCACCAAAAGTGCCTATGGCAGAGCTCAGAATTCAAAGTCTATAAGAAAAAGTCAGTTTACAGCTGAAGAGTTGCAGGAGCCACCTTAACCAAGGTGACAAATGTGTATACTTATATTCTGTTAGAGATTCCTGAATATAAATAATTGAGATGAACTAAAAACTTAAGTTAGAAGTGTGCATCCAAAGGAAGTAATAAATATTCATTTTGCAATGGATTCTCTCTTTGGTCTAACTTGTAGAATATACTTAAGCTTCAGGTTGGATGCCTATCACCAAAACTATCTTGAAAGACTGCAATTTCAGATAAAGTAATTTTTTGTGAATTAAGTTTACATCATTAAATATTCTTAAAATTTTTATTTCCAAATTGTTATTGAGAGAGTTGAGTCACCAAATTCTGAAATTTCTGTCCCATGTCTGTTTTTGGCAATCTAAAATGTTTTTTGTTTTTGTTTTTTTTTAAGTTCTACTCAGTGAATGTGGACTACAGCAAGCTGAAGAAAGAAGGCCCAGACTTCTAAACTATGAAGTTCACTGTAAAGCTGCTAATGAAGGTCTTTCAGGAGCCATCCGCACAATTTTCCACTTAAGCAGGAAATATATCTCTGAATGCATGAAATCACGTTGATTTTTTTTTTTGGAGTTTATTAAACTGATGAATAAATCTCTGAAACTTGATGTGTGTCACTATTTAATGCTGAAAATTCATATGGGATTTGATAGCTAGGGCATAAGAAATGTGAGTATTAGGATTTAAAGAATTTCTTGAATTTCTCTTTATACATTTGAAAGTGAGACCTTATCCTGCTTTAATAAGGGTGTATGTGTATGTAGGCCCACACTTGGTAACTTCAAACTGGAAATTAAAGTACTGGGAAGAATATTCACCCCTTTGTTAAATGAGCAAAATAGAAAGCACTGGATTTCTGTTATTGGCTGGAATTGAAACACAGTTAACATTCTTTACCTTGACATTATTTTCAGGGTTATTCATTGCACTGGTACTAGGATAAGAAGAGAAACTGAGTCTGTCACTGCTAACTATTAGCCAAAAGATGTTGAGAATTTCAATCGTGTGGCTTTGGCAGATGTTCAAAGGTTAGAAAGTAATCAGCGACTTTAAAAATTGGGTCTTTGAATTCTACTTAGGTTGGAGAATAGTGAGTACTTTGATGTTTTCCAAAATATACTTCAGGCCCTTGGGCTCAGATGCCCCTATGGGTAGACTTCAGTGGTGTCTAAGCAAGTAAGCATATATACTATACCGAGTTTTTACAGAAGTGTGTATCCATCATATCAGACTAATTTAGTGAGATCATTTTGATTTTTAGCATAAGTATATAAATTTTATTTGCTGAGTAGTGAACATACTGAACCTGAATTTTAAAATACATATCACATTTTAAAAGCTAAGGAAGCAAGGTTTGGACTAAATTATCAGAAGTTCAAATAAATAGATTTTGAACTCAGACTGAATTTAGTGTGAAGAGTTTCAATTAGTTGATTCTCCATTTTTAAGTTTTTATTATTTAAAACTTCAGTTTAAATATATTTTCACCATATTCTTCCTCAAGCACTTCCGAGTGTTCTCTCCCCTCCCTAGTCACCAAACAGTTCTTTGGAAAACAAACACCCCGATGCAACAAAACTAAGAAAGCCAAAATAAGCACCACCCAAGAATTTAAAAACTAAAAGTGTGGGCACACACACAAACTGGGATCTATATTATATGTTGGTCAATACTCCTGAACTTGACCAGGAATGTCACTTTATATACACAGGTCATTCCACTGGGAAAACCGACTTTCCCTCTCCTGGCAGGTTTTAAAGACCGTTCTAATGGCAACCTTTATTCTGTTGGGTTTCTACTCATTATCTTTTCAAATATATCAAAACAAAAACTATCACACTGAAGTTGGACAAGACAAACCAGGAGAAGGAAAAGAACCCAAGAGTGAGAGACCCACCTGTTTGCACTTAAGAATCCCATAAAGCCAGTAAACTTGAAATTTCTGTACAAGAACCTAATGCAGGCCTGCACAGGCGCTGTACATGCTGCTTCTCGTGTATGGCTGGGAGTTCCAAGGACTCTCACTGGGAATTACCTGGCTGTAGGTCTCTGTTCCCATCTGCTGCAGGAGGAACCGTCTCTGATGATGACTGCATAAGGCACTGATCTATGAGAATAGCAGAATGTCATTAGGAGATATTTTATCACCACATTTTTTAAAAGACTAGTATTTAATTTTTACCTCCAGTCCCTGAGTTCCATCTCATGGAGTGGGCCTTAAATCAATTACATGTTAGTTACTCCCACAAGCTTTGTGGCACCATCGCTCTAGATACCTTGTAAGCAATGCACCCTTGTAGTTAAAGGGTTTGTTTCTGATTTGTTTCTCTTTTGAGAGCATGTCGTGTATGAAGCACAGTGTTTTTCCTACTCGAAAGACAATGAAACAAGGGTAAAGGCTTTGTGTAGGCACCGGCTCAACGTTTCTAGATTCAATGGGTTGTATGGGTGTCTTCATCAATGGAGCCTTGCTTTAAGTTTGTAGAGCAACCTACAGTCTTGGCAAGAGCCTTAGTTGTTTGGTGATTCCCATGGGGTCCCTTTGGCCAGCAACTCAATTACATGTAATCCAGACCCAGTACTGGAAGCTTTGGTTGGTGACAAGAGCTAGCCAACTGGGACTGTCTTCCCCCATTATTCAGCATTTTCATTTAGATGTACAGTATTAGATTTCCATATTACCCTTCAGATGGCCCTTAATTTTAGCTGTCTCGGTTTTCTCTCCCACAATCCCCCTTCTCTCCCTCCCCACTTGATCCTCCCATTCCAGCCCCAACTGTTCCATCTATACCTATCTATTTTTATTTCCCTTTCCTGAAGATATCTATCTTTTCCCACTGGTTCCTCACTCAATACCTATGTAAGCAAATAAATACAGTATCTGCCTTTCTGAGTCTGGGTTACCTATTCATTAGTTTTTCTAGTTTTCTCAATTTACCTGCAAATTTCATGATGTCAGTTTTTTGTTTGTTTTGTTTTTATTGGCACAGTAATACTCCATTGTGTAAATGTCCATTTATTTCATCATTTATTTGTTGAGGGGCATCTGGGTTTTCAATTTCTGTCTATTGTGAATAGAGCAATGAATATGGTTGAGCAAGGGTCTCTGTGTTAGGATGAAGCATCCTTTTGGTATATGCCCAAAAGCGATATAGCTGGCTCTTAAGATCAGTTCCTATCTTCCTAGGGAAATACCACACTGATTCCATAGTGAATATACAAGTTTGCACTCCCACCAGCAATGTATTAGTGTTCCTCATACTCCCCATCCTCACCAGCATGAGCTGTTACTTGTTTTGCTAAGCTAGCCTTTCTGACAGATGTAAGATCTCAAAGAAGTTTTGATTTGCATTTTTCTGATGGATAAGGATATTGAACATTTTGTCAAGTGTTTCTTGCCCATTTGAGTTTCCTCTTTTGAGAATTCTGTTTAGATCTGTTTCCCATTTTTAATTGGGTTATTTGTTTTCTTGATATCTAGTTTCTTCAGTTCTTTATATACTTTGGATATTAGTCATCTTTGAAAGTCTGATAGAATTCTGCACTAAAATTATCTGGTCCCAGGCTTTCTTGGTTGGGAGACTTTCAATGACTGTTTCAATTTCACTGGGGATTATAGGTTTGTTTAAATTGCTTGTCCAATCTTGATTTAACTCTGGTAACTTGTATGTATTTAGAAAACTGTTCATTTCTTTTACATTGTCCAATTTGGTGGAGTGTAAGTTTTTATAGAATATCCTCATTATTCTCTGGATTGCCTTAGTGTCTGGTGTGTGACTCCCTTTTCATTTCTAATTTTGTTAATTTGGATCTTCTCTCTGTGCCTTTTAGTAATGGATAAGGGTTTGTCACTCGATTTTTTGAAGAACTAACTCTTTGTTTCGTTGGTTCTTTATATTGTATATATACATATATTGTATCATACTGTGTTGTATCGTTTCTATTTCATTGATTTCATACCTGAGCTTGATTATTTCTTGTCATCTACTATTTTGGAATGTAATTTCTTCTTTCTGTTCTAGAACTTTCAGATGTGCTAGTATGAGGTGTCTCCATTTTTTTTTTTAAATGTACAATGGACTTGATTTACTTAGTGCTATGGATTTTTCCTGTAGCACTGCTTTCATTGTGTCCCATAACTTTAGGTATGCTGTGTGTTCCTTTTCATTTCTTTAATTTCTTTCTTTATTTCTGTCTTGAACCATTTTTCATTCAGTAACATTCAGTAGACAATTCATGAATTTGTAAGGGTTTTTGTTGTTTCTGTTGTTTTTGTTATCCAACTTTAATCCATGGTGGTCAGGTAGGATGTAGGGTGTTGTATTGATTGTCTTGTATCTATTGAGATTTGCTCTGTTTCCAGGTATGTAGTCAATTTTGGAAAATGTTCCATGAGGTGCAGAGCAGAAGGTATGTTCTTTTGTGTTTGGATGAAATGTTCTGTAGGTCTCTGTTAGGCCCACTTGTTTTTATAACATCTATTAGCTCCAGTGTCCCTCTGTTTAGTTTTTATCTGGATTACCTGTCTATTGGTGACAGTGGTGTATTTAAGTCTCCCTCTACCAGTATGTAGTGGTCAATATGTGATCTAAGCTGTAGTAGTGATCCGTTTACAAACTTGGTTGTCCCTGTGTTTGGTGTTAAGGTATTAAGACTTTAAATGTCATCTTGGTGTTTTTTTTTTCTTTAATGAGTATGTAGTGTCCTCTATCTCTGTTAATTTGTATTTATTTTCTCAGATATTAAAATCCCTAAACCAGCTTGTTGATTATGTTCATTTGTTTGGAATATTTTTTCCCAATCCTTTATTCTGAGGAGATGTCTATCCTTGATGTCACAGTGTTTCTTGAATTAAGAAGAAGGGTAGATCCTGATTTTGCATCTATTCAGTCAGTCTGTGTCGTATTACTGGGGAATAGAGACTGTTGATGTTGTGAGATATGAGTGACCAATAAGTGGTGATTCCTGTTGTTGTTGTTGTTGATGATGATGGTGGTGGTGATGTGTTTGTCTGCTTATTTGATTTTTCAGCTGTGGGCTTATTATTGTTTTCTTTGATGAAGTTAACCACTTTAGGTTGGAGTTTATCTTCTAGTACCTGCTGTAGGGCTCGATTTGTAGATAAATATTGCTTAAGTTTAATTTTATCATGAAATATCTTATTTTGTCCATCTATGATAACTGAAGGTTTTGCTTAGTATAATATTCTGGGCTGGTATCTATCATCTGTTAGTGTTTATAGAACATCTGTCTAGGCCCTTCTGGCTTTTAAGTTTTCCATTGACAAATCAGGTATAATTTTAAATAGGCCTGCCTTTAAATTTTACTTGTTTTATTTTCTTACAGATTTTAATATTCATTCTTTGTTCTGTACATTTAATGTTTTGAAATGATCTGCTGAGAGGATTTTCCTTTCTTATCCAGTCTTTTTTGGTATTTTATATGCTCATTGTATTTTAATATGCATTTTCTTCTTTAGGTTATGGAACTTTTCATTTATGGCTTTGTTGAAAATATCTTCAGGATCTTTAGCCTGTGTTTCTTCTTCTTTCTGTATTGCTAGTACTCTTAGATTTGGTCTTTTCATAGTATTCCAGGTTTCTCAATG